AGTTTCACACAGAATACCCTAACAAGCCTGACTAACGTTTCTACCTGTTTTGTTTTCTTTCAGGTGGATCTGTCGTATTTTTAAGGGGCAGGATGTCAGAATCCAATTATATTTCATCTCTAGTTATCAATTATAAAAACCCAATTTCTGCCTTCTATGGATTCTGCCATACGAGGAAGGGAAGGGGGTGAACAAAGGGGCTTTATGGCCCTCACTTCCTTCGGTATACTTCAAAGGAACTGAATGTGTGTATTGCCAAAAGAGCTAACCATAAGAATGGGGCTATTGCCTTTCATGTAGTTTTCTTTGAAGTCTCCATCCAGCCGGCAGTAAGGAAAAGGGGTTGGGAATGCAATGCCTGAGACTGTCAGTGAAAGAGGGGGGTGATTGGGTGGGGCTAGTGGGGAACCCCTTAAAACCTTGAATGGGAGAGCTTGGACCCCAAATCCTGTCTAGAATGCCTGCAACCATTTTCTTTTAATAAAGGATTCCTATTGGAAGAATTATTCCAAGAGTTCTGTCTTCTTAAGATGCAAAGTGGGGTGGGTCCTTACATTCTTACTATATGTGTCTTAAGGTTTTGTGTGTCTAAACCTGGCAAATGTACTTTCTTGGGGCACACATAATGGATTTGTTTGAATTAATTTCTATAAAGTCTTCTCTATTGCAGACACCTGTTTGAAACCCAAACCAAAACCGAATTCTAGTTTTCTGCAAGACAGTGGGCAGCAAATTTTTTTGCTTATAAACCATTGATTATAACTGGAACTTTTTAATCATAAAATCTAGGTGTGTGAAGTTGTTGAACAGTTAACTATTCCGGTTGAAAGATCTCTTGTAGTTCAAACAAATCCTTTTAAAGTATATCTCAAAGGAACACTAGCCCATTACTGCATTTTGGATTATCTTTATTCACAGGAAATGTATCAGCAGAAAAAAAAGACACCCATTTGTGAATGAATCAATACCAACGTTTGGTTGAAAAGGAATGGTGAAGATCATGTGATTGAAAATGAATAGCAAAAATGTTAACTGCTTTAGAAACAATGCATATCTCATTGTTTATCATTCCTGAATAGCCAAGAGCAACGCATACTGCCATCACCTCCTCAAAATCAACCCTGCTTCTAATAAAAGAAATGCACCAGATCCATCAGAAAGTCTCTATATTACCAAAGTAACAAATGGATTGAGAAGATGTGTAAAATGTCATTTGTTTTTCTGGTTTATTGATCTGCAAATGATAATGGAAAAACAAAGCCAATAACCAGAATCTGTGGAAATTAAGTTGAAAATATTCTTTATGTCATGCACACATAAAGCAGTAAAGCAAATCAACATCAAAATGTATCTTGTGATATGTTAGAATCATAGGGCTGGAAAGCTCCTTGGAGATCTAATCCAACCTACTCAGGGAAGGAGCCCCTATTCTATCCTGGACAAATGGTGATCCAATCTTTTCTTGAAAACTTGCAGCAATGGTTCATTCACAATTCCAGGAGGCAAGCTCCTCCATTGACTAATTGTTCTCACTGTCAGGAAATTTCTCCTCAATTCCAGCTTGGACCTCCCTCTGATGCTTCTTGTCCTGACCTCAGGTGCTTTGGAGAATAAACCAATTCCCTCTTATCTGTGATGTTCTTCAAGTATTGGAAGATAGCTATCTTCTTTTTGTTAAGCTAAATCTATATCTATCTATCTATCTATCTATCTATCTATCTATCTATCTATCCTCTCTCTCTCTGCCTTTACATCTATCTATCTATCTATCTATCTATCTATCTATCTATCTATCTATCTATCTATCCTCTCTCTCTCTGCCTTTACATCTATCTATCTATCTATCTATCTATCTATCTATCTACCTATCTATCTATCTATTTATCTATCTCTATCATATATCATATATCTATCATCTATATCTAGCTAGCTAGCTATCATTTATCATCTATAATCTATCTATCTATCAAACTTATTAATTGCCCATCTCCTCACATAGAGGCTTTAGTTCCCTCAATTGTTCTTCATATGGTTTAGCCTCCAGACCCTTTATCATCTTTGCTACTCTTCATTGTACTCTTTCTGAGTTTCAACATCCTTTTTGAATCATGGTGACCAGAACTAGAATCAGTATTCGAAGTTGGCCTCACTAGTGCACTCTAGACAAACAATACTATCACTTCTCATGATCGTGACACTATCCCTCTGTTGATGCAGCCTTGGCCTTTTGCATTGGCCTTTTTGGCAGCTTCAGCACACTGCTGGCTCATACTTAAGTGGTGGTCTACTAGTATACCAAGATCCCTCTTACAGATATTAATGTTGAGCCAGGTACTGTCTACAGTTGTGCCTGTGCATTTGGTTTTTCCTGCATAAGTGCAAGACCTTACTTTTCTCACTACGGAACGGCATCTTATGGGATAGGGCCCATTTCTCTAGTTTGTCAAGATATCTTCAGCTTATTTTCCAAAGTGCTAGCAATTCCTCCCAGCTTGGTGTCATCTGCAAATTTGATGAGCTCACCTTCCATCCCCTCATCTAGCTCATTTATGAAGATGTTAAAGAACACTGTCTCCAAAACAGAACTTTGATGTACCCATTTAACTCGGATTCTTCTGGACTCTTTCTGGGTCAGGAGGTAGAAGCTGTGACCTGATGAACATTTGCTCAGTTTTGACTGGAGCACCCATTAAAGCTGTTCCTCTTGTGACTTCTAGATTAAATTGCTGTAACTTGCTCTACAGGGGTCTGTCCTTGAAGATTACTTGGAAACTTCAGTTAGTACAAAACACAATTATATGGATAGTAATAGGAATGTCCCAATATTGTCATATAAAGCCAGTACTTCAGGAGCTGAAGTAGTTGCCAGTTTGTTTCTGGATGCAATTCAAGGAGCTGATAACAAACTATGAAGTTGTCCAGTTGGAGGTCAGCATCCTTGTTAACATTCAGAAACCTAAAAAGTCTGAGCAGGTTTATAAATGGACATTTTGGGATGGACCAAGTAGTGAGTATGCACCTGAGATCTGAATGCTTTGCAAGTAGTCCAGGCAAGTAGCACACCCAGAAATACTAACTATAACTTTATTGTAAGACTACATTAACAGAAACTTGCAAGTTTGAAAGTACATCTCTTCCCCCTCACGTTGACAGTCCAAGAAACTAGGGAGGGTCTCTTCTGAGACATTTGTCACTCCCCCATTCTTCCTGTGGGCTCAGCTGCCTTTTATCTGCTTCCTGACTTCCGAAGTCATTTCCACATATCATTACAGTCTGGGTGCTGCTTATTTTGTTTATTATTCCTAGAATTTATTATGATGTTTATGTATTTTTTGATGTTTGAAGTGCTGTTGTTATATAGCTTTTACAAGCCACTTAGTTTCATTTGATTAAGCAGCATATAATCACTTGTAATAAATAAAAAATGTGACTATTACAAAAATCTTCATGGTTGTATGTGCATATATGCATGTGTACACACACACACACACACACACACACACACACACACAAACAACATTTCTGAGGTCTGCACATACCTAGATCAGTGACATGCCTATAGTGGCAACAATTCAGCAGACTCCTGGCACTATCTGCATATAGCTGCTACAGCATCTGCCTTTGGAATTTCATCCCCCCCCACCCCCCAAGATGAGACTTGCTCTGACCTTGCTGGCCTTTCATAAGGCATTAAAAACCTGGCTTTGCGTCAAGCCTGAAGCCCTGATAGTATGGGTGAGCTTGTTGTCTGTTTATATTGATTGTATGGTGTTTTAGATTATTCTCAGCTGCTATTTTATGCTGTCTTATGTTTTAACACTAGCTGTTTTTCAGTTTGTTCTTATTTTAATTGTTAGCTGCCCATAGTTATGTATGAGTTGGGTGGCCATATAAATTTATTAAATAAATAAATATGGACATCTTAAAACTGTTTCTCTGATAACAGCATGGAAATGGTCTGCTATTGCCCCCTTGTTCTGGGAGTTGTTTGCCTCCCTAATCCAAACTGTGTATTGGAGTTCTCTGTGAGTCTCTCATCCAAGTACATCTTCAGGCCAACCCTGCTTAGTTTTCAATCCTGGACAAAATCACGCAGCTATGTCCTTGCTAAGAGATTGGACACAGTCATGGCTGGAGAGGGTCTTAACAAGTAAGCAAAATCAATGGGGAAGCTGGTAGAAGGTTACAAATGTTGACTGCATTATATTCTTGCTTAAGAACCCACAATGATTCGCTTAACTATGGCAAGCAGGAATTGCTATTAAATGGTGCAGTCAATAATGTCACACTTTATAACCATGTTGCTTAGCAATGGCCATCATTGATGGAGAACTACCTATATAGGCATAATCTTGTATGTGTACTCAGTGGGGCCTGTGATGGTGGTGTTGGTATAGATGTGGGGACAAAGTAGAAATTTTGGTTTGTTGCAGGAAGTTCTATCTTGGGGGACTACAAGAGGTGGTGATGGCTACTGCCTTGGCTGGCTTCAAAATAGGATTGGATCAATTCATGGAAGTAACTATTAGCCTTAATGGCAGTGACATCCTCTGTAACCTATCTGCTCAGAGATTAGTAGGCTTCCTGTGCAGTCATTGGCTACTGTGAGAACAGACTAGATAGGCCAGGGCTTCCAATTCAGGATGCTGTTGATGTTCTTATGGACACTTCAATTAGACCTCTCACAAACCTGCAGCCAGCCCTGAAGACAGCAAACGTATTTTCAGGTAACCATGAGAACAGAGACACTGAGAAAGAAACTTTCCTGTGCCTATCTAGGAAACTCATAGCTATACAAGGATTTGGACCTAATTCCATAGCTGTGCGTAAAAAAAAAAAATAACATGCTTAGTAGATCTCATTTATTATATCACTTAGCCTGAAAATAACATGGTCTCTTTTGGGATTAGATGCTTTTATCTGATTTCACATTAATATTTCTTCATTTTGTTTTTTGCCATTTACTAGAACTCAAACGAAGGACACTGTGAAACAAGACAGATTGGTAAAACAGAACTTTATTAAAATAGATTTTGGAAAGATGTGGAAATCCTTCACCGAGCAGTGGTGGCAGTGTATTCTGCCAATTTTTCCAAGCAACTGCCCACCCATCCCCACGCTACACCCAGAAGGTGCCATGCAGCTGACCAGCAACTGTGCAGCAGAGACAATAACAATTATCAGCACTAGGAAGAGTAGCAGGGAAAGTGAGAAAAAGACAACTTTTCCTAATCTGGAACCCTTCAGATGTATTAGACTACAATTCCCATCTTTAAAATGAGAATAATGCTCAACACAGTTGCATCTCACTGATGGAATAATGGAAGTATAAGGGATCTCCAATTGTTCTTTGGAGGACATGGGAGGTATTATCATCCTCTTGGGCAGAACAGTGTGCAAGCAGCTGCAACAACTGTTATTGAGCATGGTGGGCGAGTCAAGAAAGTGAAGCTGCAATTGTGAGGAATCCACATTGTGAATTTAAACTAGAACAAAGTTAGCAGTAAGTTATGGTTTGCTATATGTTACTATACATTGGGAAATGTAGTTTTGAAAATCTTTATTCATTGGAAGTAACTACAGAGGAATAAGATTGACATTTATTTCCCTTGCAATGAAAATATATCCCTAAGACAACAATGGAATAGGGACTCAGCTCTGCTGAACCCCCCCCCCCTCCCAGCATGGAAATGGCTCCACATTCAATTAGGGTGTGTCTACTGGGAACAAATGATCAAGGCTCAGAACTGATGAAACTTTGTTTAAATTTTTTTCACATTGAGCTCCAGAAATACTATAGGATAACACCCTGGAAAGCAACAACAATTGACTCTAGGGAGAGGATGTATTTGAGCTGGAATGTTATTGCTTGTTTCTGATGCCTAAGCTCAGAAGAAAGTGCTGTGGATCATGTATAATTTATTTTTCTTCAACAAACGTTCCCTATGAAGTGAACATACGAAGCTGAGCATTGATCTGGACCATAATTCAGCCTTTCTAATGACATATGTCTCCTCAAAGCCTTGGACCAAGATCCTTCCAATGTTAGCTGAAAGTTCTTCTCCATCAAAGGCCATACCTTGAGACCAGATTCTTATTTACTTTTATGACAAGGTTTATTGATTATAGCTCAATCAGAAGGTGTCAAAACTGCCTATAAAAGACAACACTAAGATTTTGAGTTATGTCCCATTTGCTTGCTTTCTGGTCTTCAAATATAATATTAGCTACCATAATGATTAATTAGTCATTTTTCTGACTATTCAAGTCCTTAATTTGCAAATTTAATTTTAAACTTATTAAAACTCCCACCATCAAAACCACCTCTCTTGGTCAAATGTGCCTTCTTCAGCTCACAGTATATGGGTTATTTCCCAAGATGGAGCAATTTTTTTGGGAAATGGCATCTAACTTTTTTTCTTAAAGAATCAGCAGTAAAGGAAAGATCCTTATCTGATAGATTTCAAGGATTCCAAATTCATAAAAGAACCTTGGCAAAGCAAGCTGTGATCAAAATCCCAAGAGCTCATTCCTAGAGAAGATGCTCAGTTAGTAACAGAACTGGTGAATGGCATCAGACCAACTGAAAAAGTGATGGGGTTTTATTTTTACCCTTATTTGTCCCTCCCCAATCTATGCTGCACACTCACATCATAGAACCAGAACTATGTTATGACAACTAACAAACCTGATTCTGGGAAAGTCCAAGCAAGAGGTTGGGAAATGAAGAGTATGAGGTTAGAGCCCCCCCCCCCCGATCTAGCCCCACTGCAGGAATATCAAGAATGCTTCCTTAGGTCAGACTTCACTGGTGACCGACTGGGAGGGAATGAGGACATCTGGGGTAGCGGGAAAGAGACATAGTTGAGAATCAGGTGCCCTCTGTGAACATAGCTCCGTGATTCTGAAATAGAGAAAGGGAAGGGAGAAGGGAGTGAGTAAGTCAGAACGGACTTAAAAAACAGGAACAAAGTCTGCAGATCAAAATTAAATTCACAGAGTATCCTAACTCAAGCTTTAGAATTCTTCAGCAAAGCCTTGCAGCTGAGTCCCAGCAAACAGGGGAAAGCCAACTGTCACCTCTTTCCATCTTTAACTTCTTAGGCAAAATCAAACATCACCAGTCTTTAAAATATTCTCTTTTTATGTTTATGGTTCTTTGTGTGTGTTTTAAAAGAGCAGATCTCTAGTACTCATGACTGTAAGCCAAGGCATTTAACTTTTCATTGCATGGGCAAGGCTTTTTGCTGATGAGTTTGAGTTTTTGGGTTCAAGAGGGCATTTCCTTGTCTCTTCTTATACCACTTAACTATATATCTCACTTAAAAAAAGATTTGAACAGTGGAAAAGTGTACCCTGGTGTAAACAAAACCAGTGAGCAGAACAGCACAGCAACACAGAAAGCAAAGACTTACATCGCAATCCTATGTGTGTTTATTCAGAAGCAAGTTCCATTTTGTTCAGTGGGACTTATGCCCCTGAAAATGTGCACAGGACTGCAACCTAAATGTGGAAATTAAGCTGTCAGTGCAAATTTTCCCAGCAGGCACAAGTCATTATCATCTCAGAACCTCCATACCTACTAGCAATAGCTAGGATATTTTGCACAAAACTATTCATACAAGTACTTTAAAACCAGTGGATTCCTATGAAATGTGTGCCTGTTTACAAGGGTCCAATCAGCCATTGGTGGGCTATGAAATGTACTAGTTTCAGGTTGGTGGTTGAGCAGAGAGAGGGGGACCTTCTGGCAGTGGAGTGGGAGGGTGGGTGGAGAGAAAGGGATGTTGCTTTTTCTTCTGTGTAGATTTTCAGTGCTTAAACCAAATGCCGAAGAATGGCTGGCACTCCTGCTTTTATGATGTCTTAACCCTCTGCCTTAAAGGGTTAAAGGGAAAGGATGATGTGGCCAGAGCAAGAGGACATCTTCAATCTGGGGAATGAGAGGAAAGTGGTGCCAAATGGACTGCATAGAATCACAGAATATATGATTTGCCAGATTTCTTGCTGTATGCATTTTCTCAGGGAAGAGTGCCTCCTTCATTAACATTTTAACATTTTATTTATAACTACAAACTTCATTTCTGTTTTGCCCAATTGGCAAAACTCTCTGACAGTTCATACCAGAGGTAAAACAGTAAAACAAAATGATAAACTCTAAAATGAATTAAAATCATAGAATAAGAGCACAGTAAAATTAAGAGCAGAGGACAATACATTGCTATCCAAACAAACAGGTCTCTGATGGATTTGTATTTCTGGAACCAATACTCTTACAGCATTAAATGCATTAAATGAAATACTGTAGTAGCAGGCATAAACTGGACACTATCTAAGAACTTTTGGGACATGTCAAATTGCAATCTGGCTCAATTACAGAATCAGGAAGACCAGGAATCATTGCTTCTAACAAGGCACAATATTTTCTTATTGTATCAAAGAGGCTGGGACAACTTAAATGAGCAATAACACTGCAGAGAAACTTTTATATTATACTACTTCAGGGGACACTTTTAATTCATCCCATTTTCATTCTTCATTGTAACTAGTTAGCTGCACCTAACTCTTTCCTATTTAAAATGCACCTCCAGAAAAAGAAAGTACTATAGGCATGTCCCGTAAATAGCTCGCTGATATTTCACTAAAAAGTTTGTCTAGTCCTAAGTAGGACCTTCCACATATAAAGCATATATGTTCTCCAAAGGCTCTAAGAACACAGCAGCAATAGTTGCCCTAAATATCTGAAGGACACCAGCAATATACAGTATAACATCATCCAGTCACACTGTGGTGAAAAAATTTGTCAGAGCACATCACTACATTAATACTGAGTAATGCAATTTATCTGTAGCGTGGCTAGTGTAAATTCAAAAAGGTTGTGCTTTTTGCAGGTGTTTTGCTTTTTTCTGTTTGATCTTGAATACTCTATACCACCCCCCATTTCCCTTCCTATGTTTAAATGGAGTTAGTATCTGCAACTCCCAAAGTTTCTGCTTGAACTTCAGGATATCTGATCCAATTTTTCTGCATCATGACTTTTTGCCTGCCTCCGACGTCCAACCATATGCCAATCTGAAATATCCTTTCCTTCTCCTTTCTTTTCTTGGATAGTTATTGCCTCTGCCAATCCTCTGTGCCAACTTAGTTTCCCCTGAGATTAAGCAAGGGGTCAAGTTAGACAGTTCTGGGGAAAGGCACTTACTCATAGGGACGGGTCATTGCTGCGCTGCCAGCTGCTGCCAACTGTAGAGATCGCGCTAGCTGCCTTTCCAGACCTCTTGAAAGTAGTGTAGAAAACTCCGGTTCTTCTGGGGCGTCCCTCACCTGCTTCAACCCCTCCCCACCCCAGGGGGCAGCACCAGAGCAGGGGAGTAGAGGGGGAAGACACGGTTAAATAGGAGAGAATGAGAGATTAATATCATTAGATATTTACTATTCACACCCAAGTGGAAAGGGGACAGAAATAGGTTGAGAACTTGTTTTCTTTAGAGAGAAATGTTAGAGCATTGGAATATTTGCAGTTGGGGAGAATTGAGTTTTCAGAGATAACAGAGCAAGAACTTGCATGTTAAAAGGCTTCATAAAGCCTCCATGTATATTAGTTCATCATTTTATATATATACACACAGAGAGAGACACAGAAAATTTGTTATAAGAAAAGGATCTATCAGTCTACACTGAATCTGAAAGCTCCATACGATTTTCATAAAATTATCACTGATTGAACCCAAAAGTGCAGAAGCTTAAACATCTATGACAGGGAAAAGCAACATGTGGAGGAAATAGTTTGGGAGATAGTTAAAGAACAACCTAGTGTGAAGGGCTAATCATCCCAGCCTCCTCTTTCTCTTCCTTCTGTCAGAAATTGACTCTCCCTACTACTGCATCTGCTCTTTTGATCCTTCATGTTCTCTCATTCTGCTAACTGTTTTCAGCAGAATAAATACAAAATACCTAGGCCCAAAGTCTGTTCTCTTCCTGCACCCATTCCCTTACTTGCCTGATAACAACTCCTTCTATGCATCAATTTCAGCACTAACTCCACAGTTTAAAAATTCTCTTGCCTTGAGATGGGGAGCAGGATGAACACAGAGGTCTTCTAACAGAGGTCACAGTCAAAGATGTCCTACTGAATCTTGCATTGAGCCAAGCATTTCTAAAGCCTCTATGATTTTATGATTTATACAACAAAGGATTTTTTTAAAAAAGAAAAACAAATAGGCTAGAATGTTTTCAAAAGAGGGAAGCTCTTGCTAGACATCAGTAGAAAGAACATTCTAAGGACGAAGCTCAAGAGATCCAGTCTTGTGTTGTGGTTAAGGCATCAGGCTAGAAACCAGGGGACTGAGAGTTCTAGTCCCGCCTGAGGCACAAAGCCAGTTGGGTGATCTTGGGCTAGTCACTCTTTCTCTCTCAGCTCTAGGAAGAGGCAATAGCAAACCGTTTCTGAAAACCTTGCCATGAAAACTGCAGTTAGTTGTCTAGGGCCTAGGCAGTTGTTAGGAATCAAAAGGCTGACTCAAAGGCATACACACAAAAAATGGGGAGGGCAGAACTTAGGAGCAGCTGAATGGAAAAAGTAAAAAGCCTAAGATGCCACATAAGGGCAGATGATTAGAATTCACTGGAGCAAAGAAATTACAAGAGTTCTTCTGGATAGTAAGGTAGAAATCAAAAGTTTCTCTGAAAGATTAAGTGGGAGCCTTGTACAAGAAAATACAAAAAGAAATTACACAATCATATTTTTGTTCATTCACAGGACTTGGTGTTCAAAAGCTTATAATCCTTAACATGATTGTCCACTTTAAAGCTCATAAAACAGGGGACTAGCCTCCTGTGTGACTGTTGGCATTTATCTGTGAATGGTGAGATTCATCAAGCTTTAGATATGTCCCTGTGACAAAACAGTGATCCAATCGCAGTGGAACAATGGCTACTCAGTCTTTCCCTAGAGATCTGTGCAGTGACATGACAGCAACACCTGGTTTTCATTAGCAACTTATGACGGACATCCAAACATGAGCCACCTGACTTTCTAACTTTTCCCCCTTCCCTATCTGCTCTCTCCCTTCTGATGCCTAATCTGGAACAGCTTCACATTTGTTTGTTTGTTTAATTCAATTTGTACGGCCGCTCAACGCCGCTCAACTCAAACAAATGAGTCTAGATGGCAATGCTCCCTTCAAACCTAGTGCTTACCAGCAACCCTTTCCTTGAGCAAGTTTTGTTTCATTCATTTCTTCTTACTATTGTGTCTTCACCTAAGATTATGTTCTCTATAAGAGATGGCAGAAGCTACTAAAATTACCCTTCATTCTGGTTCCTTGATTAATTATGTAGTACAATAACACTATGGTACTAAATACTACTTGAGCCACAGTATGTGGGGTTTACTGGAAATCTCTTAGCTAGGGATGGAGAAGCTCCAATAAGAGCTCAGCTGATAATCCTCTCCCTGGTGGCTGGAAGAACAGAGTTAAGCAGCTTTGTCCTCCATCCCATACAGTGGAGTAATAATTTAGTGTGTCTTAGTGAGTCTTCTCTTCCCATATGAGCATTAACTAGGAATTCCCTATTCTCTCTTCAGATCCTATCTTGCTTGTTGAGACTTTTACTTTGTTATCCAGGAGTGCTTGTACTCACGTTTTAGAAATATTCCTCATTTATATTAAAGAGAGTCTTTTCAAATAATCTCCTATCTACGTTCATCCTCACCTCACTCTTACTATAAAACTATTCTGCAAAATTGTCAAATTCAGCCCCTGCATAGAGAGAAAGCAAATCCAGTGATACTAATGCTTTGTGTATTATATCTTTCTAAGTGAGGAAACAAGATTCTGGTGTCTGAAGAGAAGAAGGAGGGCTGGGAGAGGATCAGCCCCAATGCCAGATGCAGGCATCTTAATTGAGCTTTCTGTTCACGATTGTCCTGCCTGGCACAAGTCCTAACAGTTAGATTAAATCTCATATGTTTGAAAATAGAAATTCTCAGGAGAACAGAGAGAAATTTAAATGGCAGCTGGACCAACCTATTCTCTTGTTGTCTCAAATATTGCATGTGAACCCATTGGTGAGGTAAAAGAAGCCCACTAAAATGCATTTTGCCTATTGCATCCTCAAATATGGTGCTAACTGTGCATGCATATATGTGGGTGGGTGCTTTAGGTTAAAGAGAAAACTGAAGAAGGGGAGGAAGCATGCAGGGATGCATCAGGAATATCTCTTACTTGAGCCACACTTAATTTGTCAAGGGAACTGTCAACACAGGGCAATCCCAAGATTGGGATACTGGGTAGATTTTCAGGTGGAGAAACTTTCTTGGCTGAAGATATGGGGCTTTGGAAATTGTTGACCACACATGTCACCTGTTCAACAAAGAGAAGAAGAGTAGCATTAAAGGGCTCTTTTCCTGTTTTCTGCCAACATAGTGCTTTGTATCAGAAGAAACATTCAACAGAGCTTTGCAACTGATAAACCCATTAACATAGTCTCTTATTCTGCCTTTTCCATTCCTTTTGCCAGCTGCTTCTTGATCAAGCCCTGATTTTTCTTCATCATTGACCCATTTGTCTTGTTTTGAGCATGAGCCATTAGGGCAGGGCTCACTTTGGTATTCACTGGCATGGAGGTGTAAGCTGGGCATGACAGAGGAACCATGAGCTGCCTTTTTACTGAAATGCAAAAAGGAATGGGGGCAGGATGTCCATTTGAGCAGAGGAAAGTGACTGCCTGAACCTCTCAGCCATACAAAAGGAGGTAGAAAGTTATTTTGTGTTTTAATAGGAACCAAGCTAGTTTACATTTCTCTGTTATCCAAAAATAGAACCCAAACAACCCACCCAACATCCTCCCAAAATCCCCCACATCCCACCCAATATCCCACCCCACAACAAAAAACACAAACAAACACATCCCAAAACCAAAACACAAATCACAAATCCCTTAATCCCCACACCCACCAAACCAATCCCAACCACCATTCCCAAACCCCCAAGTTTATCCCACCAAAAAACCCAAACATCCCACACCCAACAATCCCACCCACTATCCCAAGAACCCAAAGAACCCCCCCCCCCCCAGGCCAGGAATAGCTACTTCTCCAAACTGTATTATGCTATATAGAGATAGGGGCCAGGTAGAGGTCGTGAGCAGCAAACTGCCCTTCCAAAGCCTACGTGCCTCTTCTCTCTACATGATCTCATCCATTCACATCATCATGGCAATGTAGGGAAATACCCCAGGCTGGTACATGATATCACCTGGTTCACATGATATCATCCAGGTTACATCAACAGGATGTGGCAGAAGACTGCTCCCTGTCTGGGGCCTCCTAGCTGGTATATTCTTAAGGATTGGCAAGGGGTTTCACCAGTAGAAATGCTGTTACTATGCTGATGCCATCTTACTTTAGGCTATTTGGAATACCTGTATAAAAAGAATAAACACTGCGAATGCAGTCAGCCATATTTGCACCCTGCAATGATTGAACACTGATTCCTTCAATGCTATTCTCTGTAAATAAATTTTTAAAGCCTATGCACAAATGTATATAAAGAAAATTGCTTACAAATATGAAGAAAATTAGAGAAAATTATTTGCAAAATATATACACTACAGAAAATATCTACAGTACAATCTTTGAATAAGGGCTGTGAGACAGAGTGCAAATATGCTTTAAAGAATGCAGTTGTCAGTTCCCGTCCCACCTATTAAGGAACAGATAGAGAGTATGTGTTTTTTCTTCTACAGAGGAGGAAGAGCAGGAGAGCATGGACAAAGAGATATTTGGAAAAAAGAGCTATGCCATTCGAGATAGCTTCAATCAAATAAGAAATGGCCTCATTCATATCTGCATTTGGGGAAACTATAACACAGTCATCAACACATCACAAACTAATACAATAAGGAAAGCTGCTCCCCAAGATCTTTATCTGACCTTTGTTTTAACCCTTTAATGCTGATAAAGGAATAGTTTTAGAAACTTCCTGATGACATACACATTAAAAAGGGGGCTCTACCCTGCAAAACCTGGTAAAGAAGCTCCTATAGCATTGCCACTATATGTGCAATGATTAATGGAACTGCTTCTCCTTCCCAGAATACTCCTGATGGTGGCTAAATCCTAAGAAGGAAGCCTTGCCCCTTTACCTACCAGTCAATACCCTTCCTCAAAGCGGGAGTTAAGCAATCCCCAAACACAGAACACTTACCAGAAAGATGGCAATGGCCCCTCCGGTGAGGAACCCAGCCAGCACATCAGACCAATGGTTCCGGTACTCAGCCACACGCACCACACCCACCAAAAATGCTGGGCCCAGGAGTGCCAGGCACAGGGATGGCTTGGCCAGGCGGGAGCCCTTCAGTTGAAAAACCAGCGTGACATACATCTGTGGGAAGGGAAGAACAGCATAGGAGAGTTAGCTGAGATGCCTTTCATCTTTCTTGAAAATTGTTCAAAATATTGGACAGCATAACCCTGCATATATAATCAAGGAATAACTCTTTTTAAAATAAGGAAAAAAGGCAGATAGAAGACTACCCAGTCTGGCATAGTGGTTAAAGAATCAGGATAAAAACTGGGAGACTGTGAGTTCTAGTTCTACTTGAAGCATGATGTCAGTTGGGTGAGCCTGGTTCAATCCCTCTTCCTTAGCCTTAGGAAGGAGGCAAAGGCAAACTACTTTTGAAGTTTTGAAGGAGGCAAACTACTTTTGAAGACCCAGCTGTGAGGCAGCTCAACTGAGAGGTGACCCAGCTGTATCTTAGCTGAGAGGCAGCCCAGTGACCCATCTGAGAATCAGAGAGATAGTGCAGCAACCCAGCTGAGAGATGGAGAGGCAGCCCAGTGATCCAGCCCAGCAGCTGAGCAGAGGCAGTGAGGTGCAAACTTAGGTCACTGAGCAGTGGTAAAATGGAGCTAGGTGGCAGCAAACTAGCGACGCCAGACCCTGAGCAGCAGCTGTGCAAAGCTAAGTAGCAGAGGAGCAGATGCTCATAGCAATGGCTGAAAGCAGCAACAGACTGAGCATCGGCGTGCAGAGCTAAGTATGACAGCAGGCTGGAGTGCCCACAGCACTGGCTGAGAGTAGCGTGGCGGAGCAAATGAGCAGCATGATGGAGCAAACGAGCAGTGGCTAAGCGGAGCAGAGCCCCGAGATCAGCGCATTGTACCTGAAAACCCCAGCAGTGGCCAGGCAACCGAAGGGCAAGAAGGCAGGGAGGAAAAGGAGAAGTACGTAACACTTGTGGACAGAGAGGAAAGGGATAAACTTTCAAGCCAGGGTGTACAGGGTTAAGAGCTAAGCATCTCCTAGAAAAAAGCCTGATATTTCCAACAAAAAGAAATGCATAACACTTCATAAAGGGCCAAGAACTTTTGTAAATCCTTACATTTTTAACATTTCTGAAGTTTTATTAAAAACAAATTTTTATTTCAAATTTTCAAATTTCTCTTTTAATTTTCATTTTTTTTCATTTTTAAATTCCTTTTTCAATTTTTAAAATCTTTTTTCAACTTTTAAATTTCTTTTTAATTTAATTTTAAATAACATTTTTAATTTTAAAATCTTTGTCAATTTTAAATTTATTTTTCAATTTTTTTATAAAATTCTTTTTTTCAATTTTTAATTTTTTTCAATTTTTCAATTTCTTTTTTCAACTGAACAATTAAAAAGAGTTTACTTATTTTAATTCTTTAGAAATTTTTAAATGCTTAACAATCTGAGAAAAAAATAATTAAAAATCATGGAAAATAGTCAGACACTTAAAAGGGAAGATAGTGATGAATTTTTCAAGACAGAGAACAAAGGGTCAAGAACTTTTATAAACTGACACTTCATAACAGGGAAAATATTAATTTTTAGAAATTTTTAATTTTTAACAAAAAATCATGGAAATAGACTGACATTATAGTGGCTTTCAAAATATGTCATTATATTTAAGCTTATGCCCACAGAAGTCCCAAACTATATCAAATGTAAATTATATGAGTTACTAGAAGAAAAAGGGTCTAGAAACAACTCTAGCCGCTCTGAAACTCAATGAACAAAGCGAGAATCCCCAACCTAAACAAAAAGACTACACCAAAATTAAATACAATAGGGAGTAAACAGCTTCTAAAAAAATGACTCCATATATGAAGAAAAGGAAGAAAACCAATACACCTAAATTGAACATTACGTGTTTTCCCAAAAATAGACCCACCTTGAGGTTTTGGGGTGGCAAAATAACCCCTAGTTTTGGGGTGAGGCACATGCTTAAAAATCAAGCTAGGGCAGGGATGGGGGGTGGAACTACCTCACATGCCCTGCACCCCCTTACCGTTGCAGCCAGGCCTCCCATGAATCGACACCTGCCTCGCCGGCCCACTTCTTCTGCAGCCACTTGCCACTGCTTGCACGTGTGTCACCCTGGCCTCCATTTCGTCATCAGAAGCCTTCAGGAAATACCTCTGCAGCTGAGAATAGAAGTCCGAACTGACCTGTGCGGCGCCCTCCCAGTCTCCATTTTGCTATCAAAGGCCTTCCAGAAAGGCCTCTGCAGCTGAGAACCAAGCTCTGGATTGATGTGTGCAGCGCTCCCTGGAGGCCGGAGCTCAGTTCTCGGCTGCAGAGCCATTTCCTGAAGGCCCCTGACAGTGAAATGGAGGCCGGAGGCAATGCATGCAAGTGGCAGCCAGCGGCCGCAGAAGAAGTGGGCTGGCTGGGCGGGGCTGTTGGTGCTGCTGCCATGAGATGAGATTGTGGAAAAGACATCCCACAAAAATAAGACCTGGTGCCCCTTTAGGAGGCAAAAAAAATAATAATAATAAGACCAGGTCTTATTTTTGGGGAAACATGGTAACAGAGAACAAACAGCTTCCGTAAAAATGAGTCCATATGAACCTAAAGAGCAAGACTGATGGAAACATGTCATTTTTAGAAGAAAACAATAACCAAGAGCAGACATCTATAAAAGAGCAATCATCAATAGTTTCTAAGAAAGAGGCACAACCTCTACAACAGGAAGTATCCCAGACTTCCCTAAGGGAAAAAAATGTGAACATTAATGATAGGAGATTCAATTCTTTGGGGAACAGAAACTATAATCTGTTTCACCCCCTAATGGCAGGTTCTGGTCACTGTCGAACTTGGTTCTTCCACTCAACATTTTCCCATGTTTCTTTCTCTTCCATTGGATCAAACAACAAAAAGTAAGGGATACTATATTTTGGGAAGAAAGCAGCTCCCAGAAGAACAGGCTTTACAGACCACTTGCTTCCCTTATGGCTGCATCAGCCAAGGCAAGAGCAAATGGGAAAATCAACTATCTCCTTGCTTTTTTCTTGCCTTACTGCATAGAGAAAAAGCATGGAAATAAACCACAAGGAAACAGGTATTCTTAAAAATGGATGTGGTAATTAAGCATTACAACCAAGGTAAATAACTACTCCAAGAAATTGTAGGGGAAAAAAAGTTCAGTGCCAGTTCCACCACCTGCATCAGTTGCTTAAAATAGACTTGCAGATGCTGTACTCATATTCAGCTGCAGATACTGATGTACTGTGGTATCTAAATACTGCATCTAAACACTGCTAAACAACTCCTGCATCCAGCTTTCTAGAACTATTGCATTTCATAGCATTAAATCATTGTCTAGCTAGAATGTCTATATTTTTTTTCAAATAACCTTGAGCGACATACACCAAGCATTCTTTGTTGTTGTTGTAGACAATGCATTTATTGCATTAATCCAGTGTTTCAGATTCTAAAAATTCCTGTTCTGTCAATGGCATGCACCACCCAATCAGTGTCAGAGGAGCAAAGGGCCAAAAGACAAGAGCTCAGCTGGCTGAGAAAGAGGAGAGGCTAGGTTTTTCCCAGTATAACATCACAGGACCTATTTGGTTTTACTGCCTTCTAATGAGAAATGATCACAGTGAAGTCAAAACTGATCCTTTTTCCTGAGGTGGCAATGCCAAGGATATTTTTTGCTCAGAGCAGCCAGTGCTTTGTCACAAAAAATAGTTCCCCCAATTCTGTCCTGGGTGAAAAGATCCTGTGAATGTTTCTTTCACACTTTTGTACTGTGCCCACCAGAGGGCACTCCAGACTTCTCAATGAAACAGTCCATTTCCAAACCTTGACTCCTTCTGTGTCTGGGTGTATTGTCAAACCTGGCCTCTACCCACTCAGTCTGATACAAATGGAAGTTGATGCAGGGCATGGGAAGGGAATTGGGTGCTCAATTACTGGAAGAAGCTCAAAACTGGCCCCTCCTCCCTCCCTCCATCTTTCTGTCTGTCCTGTCACCTAGCTGCCCCTTCATACCACAGTGTATGCCACCGCATAGGCGCTCAGGGCAGCGTCCTTGGAGGGAAACGCCTTGCAGGCAGCAGTGACCAGGAGAGGATTGCCAGTGCAGGCTGCCTTGTCTGTGACGTAAATGGTGCCTGGGGGTGGTTGACAACCCAGCACAGTGTAGTTTGGTTGGCACACGGACAGGAAATGTGGAGTCTGGTTGCCAGTTACCACTTGGCCTGCATTAGCAAAGATGGTGGTAGTGAAGAGGCCGAAGGAATAGACACCTATAAAAGGAAAAGGACAGGAATGAGGAGGGGGGGCAGAGCCTGGGGATTCAGCTGGGTCTAGGTGGGAGGGGCATTCTCCTCTTACCCAGGAAGCGGATCGTGCGGCGCAGAAGGGGATTGAAATAACAGCACTCGCCCGAGATGATGGTTTTCTCCTTATGCCTTGTGGGTTGAAAGAAGAAGGCGGCCAGTTCTCCAATAAGTATCTGGAGTGAGAGAAAGAAAGAAGCAGAAAGAAAATTGTACTTTCTCGTTAATAGCGGTTGTTTAAAGTAAGCTCTGAGAGGACAAGGCTGTCCAAGGCCTTTGCAAAAGGGCTGGAGGATTCCTTCAAGATTCCGTATGTTTCCTCTCGTAAATGAAGTGCTACTAAGACTTAGCATGGGAGGCTAAGTGACATTATTTTCTAGCCTCCAAAGGTCCAGGAGAGGCCAGCCGAAGCCGAGGGATAAATGGAGTATGCATTTCCATGAGGATAAACATAGACACTTATTTCCCTACATCAGTAGATGAGTTCTATAACCTAAATTTGGGAAGTGCTGGCAAAGCAGACTGAAAAGCATCCTCACAGATCAGAATATAAATACATGGGTTTTTTACATGACTTTTGGCAAAAACATAATTCTACTGTAGATAGGATCTGTAGCAGTTCAGAGCATGATAGGACTACATCAGTGGGAGTTTAGTTCAAAGCAAATAATAATTTTATTTCCACTTTCTCTTTGGTCACTAAGGTATTCCCAATGTTAATGAAATAAAAGCAGCATAGCAATGCCCACTGTGTAGAAAAAGCTGCCAAAGAAAACAGGGCTCATGCAAGGGACAGAGAAAGGATGTGCAAGAGAGAAAAGTCCATTCAATGGAATAAGTCACCTAAGGAAGCAAAGCAATGAATTGAGGGCCTTGTTAAAAATAGAGAGTGCTCCTGTCAGATCTGCCATCTTGAGCTTAGTGCTATGCTGGCACTCTGCCATAAATTGTTCAGGGCTGGGGCTGGGGAGGAAACAGGCAATTAGCATGTAGAGGATAGAGAAAATCCAAAGTGTGTGTGTGTGTGTGTGTGTGAGAGAGAGAGAGAGGGGGGGGGAGGGAGGGAGAGAGAGAGAGAGAACTCATATCTATCATATTGCATACTTCCTTGTCTCTCTTTCTCTCGTCTCCTGATTCCGTTCTCTTCTCTCCCTGGGTTCTGCCATATCCTAGAGGGGAGGGGGGACAGAGTGGGGTTTTATTGTCTTAGCTTCCTCTATTGATACAATGTAGGGTTTTGCTTCCCTGCCTCCTTTCCCTATTTCTACAGTGTAACATTTCACCTTAGCTTCCTTTATTGCTGCAATGTAACACTTTGCACTCCTGCACTGTATCTCTCTCTGAACTTTCTTCTCCCTAACCTGTCAGCTAGGAAAGTGGGAGGGTGGGGGGGGGGAGAAATACAACCTCTGGAGCCTCGCTTATTTCTCCAATCTCAAGAGAAGGCGCAAAGAGCTGCTTGAACATCGTGCTACGACCAGAGCCAGACTGATGTTATCTCGCCTTTCCCACGATGGACTTAACACCCGGGGATTGTCCAGTTTGAACCATCCGAATGAACTATGGGGTGGGGTTTGCTTGGGGATACTTTAACCCATCAATCTGTATAGGAGTCCCTCAGATCCTGTCTAGTATGCCTGCCATCAGCTTCTCCTAATAAAAGTTCCTTTTGAAAGGACTTGCTTCCATGAGTTCTGCTTTCTTGGGATGAGGTATTGAGGTGGGTCCTGACAGTGTGACAGGTTTGACAGTGGTGGGATTCAAATATGTGAACAACCAGTTCTCTGTGTGGATGCCGCTTCCAGAAGTCCATTCTGGGCCTGGGCAACAAAAAATTAGCTACCAGTTCTGCCAAACTGGTGCAAACTGGCTGAATCCCACCACTGAACCAGAGGTGTTAAGAACCAGCCTGTTCCAGTCTTCAAGGCCATGGACCCTGGAACAGGAATGTGAATTGCACCAAATGGCACCAAACATCCAAGTGGTTCCCCAAACACCTATACAATACACCATTGGATGATGATGGACCAGGGAGAAGGGGAAAGCAACCTAGAACTAAGGAAAAACTTCCTGACAATTAGAATAATTAATCAGTGAAACAACCTGCCTCCAGAAGCTGTGAATGCTCCAATACTGGAAGTTTTTAAGAAGAGACTGGACAGCCATTTGTCTGAAATGATATAGGGTTTCCTGCCTGAGCAGGGAGGTTGGAGTAGATGACCTCCAAGGTCCCTTCCAACTTTATTATTATTGTTGTTGTTGTTGTTGTTAACTTTGTAATGCTTTGCACTAGCCTGTTTTCACTGCAGCCACTGATCCTTAGTAAAAGAACCTATCAATTCAATCAAATGGAGTCGAGGGTCTTTCTTTCCTAGGTACCTAGCTGGGGCAAGCTTGGCAGCAGTAATAACAGCTGAAGTGCAATGGGGTCTCTTTTGTGAAGCTGGGCTCAAACATTCTTATTGGAGTTTCTGGTTATTTTTTTCCACACAGGAAAAGAATGGTGAGGAATAAAAAGCAATTATGTTGCACATTGTACTGGTGAAGATGTTGGATGGGAGAGACCCATGTTCAGCTATATGCTGAATTATTTCAATTAACACTGTTCCTAATACTTTGTCTTTTATGAGACTAAATGGGGGAGAGAATTATGTCCTTTCTCCTGAGCAATTTGGAGGAAAAGTCAGGTAAAAGTATAACAATGAAAACATTACAGAAACAAATCTGGGCGGGTACATAGGTCATTCTGAAAATACCTATATGAGAGGCAATGCCTATGAAAGCATCTGAGCAGACAAAATATGTGAATGTATTATATTGTATGATTGTAATGGACGTGTCTTGTGAGCCCTCAAATTCATCTTCACTCCATTTCCCAACACAGCTTCAAATATCTCTGGATGCCCTCATACTTCTTCCCTCTAGCAACCAGTTTCTTTGTGCTCTTAATCCCAAGAAAATTAATACTATCACAAAGGAGGCTGTGTTTATCTCTCATCATTGCCAAAGTATCCCAAGATTGATTTACCGGCCCTTCCTCTTAAGGAGTTCTCTCTCCTCCCAAATCCCTCGTGGACCACTTACCGTGACGGTGGGGACAGCAGTAACAAGAGAGTAGACCAGGACTGGAGGTGCTTGGCTACTGTCCTCTGGCCCAGGATAGGGTTTGGCCAAAGTGTTGTCATAGCAGAAGAATCCTTGAAAGTGCACCGGAAAAGTGTCTGAATACTCAAAGTGGTAAGCCAGCACCACTGTGCCAGCCATGATCCCCAGCTGGAAAAAGAACAGGATGGCACATCAGGCACTACTAGCAGAATGGGAGGCAAGCAGATCATTCAGATCCCTGGAATAAAAGGGGATTGCCACCTGCCCGTTACTGCATGCAAACTTCTATGCCTCTTTCTTTTCTTACTCAGATGCAGGCTGAGGACTAAGAGAGGAACCCAGTTTTCTGGGCCAAAGTAAGGCTGTTGTATTCCTCCCCATGTCCCTCCACTCCTGGTTGCCACTTTTCCCAGACATTTCCCTTTTTGCAATTCATAGCTCATAAATGATGCAAGGCCAACTCTCAGGCAACTGAGCCCAGAGGAAGTGAGATGAATGTAGGCTTCAATTTGACAGGGGAGAGGTTTCAGATGTATGTCTGTTTTCTTCTGTCCATCCACTTTATAGGAAGCATCTGAATGCTCTTCATGGGATGGAAATAAATCTATTTTGCATCCATAAATAATTGCCACCTGTCCCATTTCCTCATTTTTAAAAATATATCATGAAAATTTCTAAAAATCCATATAAGTAGATGCATTTTCCAAATGGCTAACCTTCAATGAATATTTGAGGGCCTCTCTAGATTTGTTAAAAACTTACACAGAAAATTTGGGAAAATTTCCCTGATTTTCATGGGATGGTATTCAGATTTGTACCCTAGAATAGTAGACTAACTACATTCTTGAATATCCTTACATATTACAGAGCTGAAGTGTTCTAGGACTAGGCCACTAAAGGAAGGGAGGGACACACTAGAAAAACTATGAGATATGGACTGCAAACAGCCAGATGATTAGATGGTGTGAAGCAGTTAGTTTCCAGTATACTGCCCTCTCACAATGACACAGATTTTTCTAATCCTAATCTGTTAGTGCTGGCCTTCCTGCCCACAATGACCTCCATAGGTGGAATATGGAGTACTGAAGCCTAGCCATCTACCAAGAAGAGCAGGGCTGGCCCATATAACGAGATCCATATAAGCAATATTGTGAACTACCCAAGCAGCTTTTTTTGTAATATAGCAGATGCATTGGGCAACTTTGCTTCCAGTTCTGCTGAGCAGCTTCCAGGAAACCTAGCAAAATGACTTTTAGTTCCAAGTCTTAAAAGGACAATCCCAACCAAATGCTAATTCTGTATCCAATTACTATTCTTATAACCCTAAACTGAACTGGAGAGAGTGAGAGTGAGTGAGTGAGTGAGTGAGTGAGTGAGTGAGTGAGTGAGTGAGTGTGTGTGTGTGTGTGTGTGTGTGTGTGTGTGAGAGAGAGAGAGAGAGAGAGAGAGAGAGAGAGAGAGAGAGAGAACTTATTGATCAAATTCCTTGGTTTTCTTACCTCCACAAACACAAAACAAGGTATAATGGTTAAGCTTCTCTTAAGCTCCTGCTTTCCACCAGCCATAGCAATTAGGCCTGGATACTTCTGCAAGGAAGAAGATCTATAAGGGGGGGGGACCTCCAAAACCCCTCTGTATGTATAACCCCCAGAAGAGATTGTATTCTATTTTAGACAAGCATAACTTTTCCCTACAGGATTTTTTTCTGATATATCCAAACATTCATAACATATTTTAAGGCAGGTGTATTCAAACTGGATTGTGTTCGGAACCCTCTAAAACAATAAGTGAATATGTGCGCTCTCTCAAGAATTACTTCCCTAGGATTAAGCTGAGGCAGGAAATAAATACCATGGCTTATTTTTAATGATTACATTTTAATCTAAATATCAAAGGAGTTTGTGATTACAGTATTGCTTTGGCCGCTTTGGCCTTTGACATGAAAATTAGTAGCAAAGACCACAGAACATTTTTGACAGAGCTGACATTGTGCCTCCAAACGCCCGTTCAGCTTTTAAAAAAACTGTGACTCCAAATTGATTGTGACATTCTTCTCTTTCCCTCAAAGGTCCTAACCCACAGTTTGAGAATAGTTGCTTTAAGGTCAAACAATAACTTTGATATTCTATATGAAAACTACTTGACCAAGGCCTCTCCTCTTTTGGAGTCCAGATGTTCAGATTTAGTAAAGTCACCTTACCTCGTCAAGTAGCTCGTATAAAGTATAAAGTTGTTCTAACAACTCAAGGAGGATATGGCATCTATAAGAGAATAAAATAATAATCTCCCTTAGTTTTTTTTTTTAAAATATGGTGACATACAATACAGGTAGTTTTTTCGACATGACCACAATTGAGCCCCAAATTTCTGTTGCTAAGTGAAACATTTGTTAAGTCAATTTTGCTCCATTTTACAATCTTTCCTGCCATATTTGTTAAGTGAATCATTGCAGTTTTTAAGTTAGTAACACGGTTGTTAACTGAAACTGGTTTCCCTATTGACTTTGCTTGTCAGAAAATCACAAAAGGTGATCACATGACTCCAGGACACCTGCAACTGTCATAAATATAAGTCAATTGTCAAGCATCTGAATTTCAATCACATGACCACAGGGATGCTGCAATGGTTGTAAATGAAAAATGGTCATAAGCCACTTTTTTCAGTGGTATTGTAATTTTAAACTGTCATAAAACTATTGTAAGTTGAGAACTACTCTAAAATTAGGAAAAATGAACATTTTAAAATACTTTTTTGAAAAAGCACAACGTATTTTTTCCAAGTACCTTCCTGCCTTCAAATGTCCACTCCCCCTAAAATTATATTGTAGAAACCTTGTGTACATATTACTGTGAGCATGGATCAATGCAGGAGTTTCTTCTGAGTAAATATGCATTTTAAGATTTGATGTACAAAACCAAACCATAAAGAACAATTGGTTCCAGGATCCAGCCAGCCAGCCTCTGATTCTGAGGATTCAGGGAATTCTCTGAGGGTGCTAAATTTTATTTTAGCTATGAGAAGAGTGTGTGGAGGTGTACCCCAAAGTAAGACAATTTTTGTGGGTTAATTCAGCTCAAGAATTTGATAAGTATCTTATAGTTCAAAGCAGAGAATGGATATTTTCCAATCTGTAGAAAGAGCTGAGAAAACTTTTACCATGGCTGAGAATTTGAATTTCTAAGGGAATCTAAAAGGAACTTTTACAAGACAAACTTTTGCTACAGGACTTTTGAATATGTTTAAGCTACAAAAGGGAGTCCAAAGTTTGAGAAAAATACAGTCATAGCAGACACATTGATTGACAAAATCCATCATAAATAGAAGGCTGAGTGTTTCCCATCGGTGGTCACTGCTGTAGCTTCCCACTTTTCACACCCCAATTTAGAGGGACAGGACTAAATCCACCAAACTCAGTGGTGTTGCATATTCACTTCAGATTGTAGTCTTGTTGAAAAACACAAGCATCTCAGGAAGTCCAGAAGCTCCAACTGCTTTTCCCACAGCAAGAGTATATTTTAATGGAAGTTTCATCATAGTAAGATGTTATATAATCACTAACCCAAACATGTTAAGAGTATTAATTAAAAATAAATACTGGAATATTTGCTCATATTCAAGTAGCAGAAATAAAAATGGAATTTTACAGTGAATTTGTAAAGTTATGCTTTTTTGTACAAATGTGAGTGCAAATTGCTTTATCTTCACATATAACAAGAAAAAGATGTATCTTTACTTATTTCTGGGCCTCAGTTCTGATAAAAAAAAATCACATTCTTCAGCTGTTTCTCCTAATCTCTGCTCCTTTCTTACTTCTCTCTAGCCAAATAATTGGAAAATTTGAATGCCCTACTTAGAAGGAAGTATACAAACTCAACTTCAAACAACATTAGTACATGTTAATATCGTATCTTGTATTGCTTTATACAATTTATTCTGAGCAGAGAATCATGATTCTTGTGTAAATAGTGCATAATTTGGATGAGGATCTGTAGCAGATCTGTAATGATCACTGTACATAAATGAGAGTGCAAAACATATTCCTCTATTAGAAATTCAGCTCATCCCAACTCCCAGTCCTCATAACTGCACAAGGATTCAAAACTCTCTTCCCACAGCATAGAGGAGGGGAGGCTGACTGCTTCCTCCCCCTTGTTCCTTGCCTGACTGTCGCTTCCTCCAGCACAGATTGGAGCCCTGCAAGACAAAGCCATGCTGCTCACGGAGCTAGCCCAACTTCTCTAGCACTGTAACCAGCACTGTAAGAATCCAGGCGCAAGATCTATGGGCTGCCTGCCCCCTTTGGAAAGTGACCCCCATCCATGGCAACTCATCAACCCCCTGAAGCAAAGTGGCACCCTCTGCCTCCATGGTTTGGCCACCGGCATCAGTGATCATTTTGCTGCAAATAGTAAAATTAGGACAGCAGGAGTGTGTACATGTGCAGGCATGTGTGTGTGGAGAACTCATACATCCAGCATTCTAAGATGTAGCTTAGCAACACAGTCCTTTAAAACAGACATGTATGTGCATAAACACACACACACACACACACACACACACACACACAAACACCACAGAACTGCAATAATGGTACTGTGAATAGGCAATGGAGAAATAGCAGTGGAGAACCCATTTGATTCAGAATGGAAGACAGATGTTCCAAGCTACCAGTTCGCCCCTCCAGGAAAATCTTCCCCCCAGTCTAGCCTTTGCATCTCTCACCTTCTGTCCGTAGGAGTGGCTTTTTAGGCAGCAGCCATGGCTTCCTCGGCCCACCTCAGTTCTTGTCTCCTCCTCTTCCTCCTTTTTGGTAAGCAATTTTAACAGTCTGTCAAACAGAGCAAGGAATCCACGCTGATCACGCCAATATCGTAATTAGCCCCTGGGTTGCTGGATGAAACATTGTTTTAGCATTAGCAGCTGGAATGGGGAAGAGAGAGGGGAGTGCAACACATACATATGAATGCACACACACGGGCACACACACACACACACACACACACACACACACACAGGGAGGAGATAGTGGGAAGGAAAACGTTTCAAGAAGGGACATTCAATGAAATGCTGGCTGTGTCTCTTCTGGGTCAGAAGGGCGAGAGTCGCACAATCACGAAGGCTCGGCTAAAATCCATAAATCAAAGCTTCACTTCAACTTCTAAACAAGCCAGCTTCTTTGAATTGAGTTTCCCTGTAAAATACGCATATAACTGGCCTCATATTTCTACCAATGATTAGTACTACAGGAAAAATGAGGCACTGACAATCCAAATTTGTTGTCAAATATGGTTCAACAACAATTGTTGAGAGCACACATTTCAAACTCACAGAGTATACAGAAAAAACATAAGTTACTAGTTACAGAAAATGTAATTCAGAGATAACACTAACATCTTGAAATAATTGTAAGAAGAAAGAAATTTGGCTTGCATTTTTCTACCTGTCAATTTTATCAGGAAAGATATTTTATAAAATTGTTTGAAAAATTCTTGTGCAATTTCAAAAATCTGTGAACTAGAAGCAATAGTACACGAGGGTAGGTATGATATAGTTGGCATTACAGAAACCTAGTGGGATGAAACCCATGACTGGAATGGACTGATGCATGGATACAAATTTTCAAAAGAAACAGAACTACAAAAAGAGGAGGGGGAGTTGCACTATATGTAAGAGAATACTAAATATCTACAGAAATGCACATGATCAAAGATAAAAGCCCTCCAGAATGCATACGGCTCAATATAAAAGGGGAAAAAAGTGACATTGCCATAGGAGTATACTACAGGCAACCCAACCAATCAGAAGAAATAGATGGATTCTTTGCCAACCAGTTAACAAATGTATGTAGCAAGCATATCACAATGGTAATGGGAGACTGCAACTACCCAGATATCAGCTGGGAGACAAACTCTGCAGCGAATGGGAGATCAAACAGATCTAACAGATTCCTAACCAACCTAACTGACAACTTTGTCATCCAAAAGGTAGAGGAGGGAACTAGAAGTAAAGCTACACTGAACCTAATTGTAAGGACTACTGGGGAACCCCTTAAAACCTTGAATGGGAGGGCTTGGACCCCAAGTCCTGTCTAATGTAAGGACCCACCCCACTTTGCATCTTAAGAAGACAGAACTCTTGGAATAATTCTTCCAATAGGAATCCTTTATTAAGAAGAAATGGTTGCAGGCGTGCTAGACAGGACTTGGGGTTCAAGCCCTCCCATTCAAGGTTTTAAGGGGTTCCCCAGTAGTCCCACCCAATCAACCCCCCTTCCAGTGATAGTTTCAGGCATCACAATTCCACCCCCTTTTTTCTTCCGTCTGGATGGAGACTTCAGATAAACTACATGAAAGGCAAATAACCTTCTTTGTTATGGTAAGGTTCTTTGGTGCTAACGCTTTGAGGTTACAATAAACACACATTCAGCATTCAGCTCCTTAGAAGTATACTGAAGGAAGTGAGGGCCATAAAGCCCCTTTGTTCTTGCCAGATGTTGGGATCCGAGAGGTCAGATTCCTCAGGAGAAGGTGGAGACACGGGACAACAAGCCTCGCTGGTCAATGGGCATTGGAAAGAAAAGTGAGTAGGGAAAGGAATCAAGAAAGGTGACCCTGAGACGGGGGGCCAAGCAACCAGAATGGAAGCAGGAGATGGAGAAATCCCTGCACGCAAGTGAAGAGGGAGAAAGCTGGGCACCGTACTCAGACTGGATCCTAGAGAAAGCTATCGACCTGATGAAGAGAACTCTCAGCTCCCTAGGAGAGGAGAATCCTGAGCCCTACGGCCGCCCCAGCTCCTGGAGCCGCAAAGGGAGAAACACCAAGGGGGAAGTGAAACCTGCAGCCCCGGGGACATCTGCTGATCCAGTAGTCCCCACCCCCTACCGAACCACAGATGGTGATCTGGACGGAAGACACTACCACCAACAACGGAGGCACCGATCCATTCCAAGACGTCCGCCGTTGGAGGTGAAATTCAAAGGGGAGCCAACATGCTTGGGGTTTTTCCTAACCCAAGTCCTCAGCTACATGGAGGAATATGGGTGGGCCATCCCCAGCGACAAAGCCCACATCCAGATCGTGCAATCTGCCCTGGACGGACTGGCTGCAGATTGGGTGGTGAGCTTGCATGACTCCAGTGCCCCAGAACTCAGCAACTTCAACCGTTTCATGTCCTCTCTGAGAAGACGATTTGAAGACCCCCTGGCTGATCGCAAAGCCCGCGAAAGGATAAAAACGATGAGGCAAGGCAAACGCTTGGTGGCTGAATATACACAAGAATTCCGGGCCATTGCCAGCAAACTGAACTGGCCAGAAGACATCCTCCTTAGCCATTTCAAAGACGGACTAAATTATGATCTATATGACGCTTGCCTGCCCCGAGGGGACCCACACCAACTTGAGGAATGGTACATCTTGGCAGAGGAAGCAGAGATCGACATATTGAAGAGGCACCGCCGAGGAAAACAATGGAGCTGCTCCCTACCTGAGTTGACACACGAACCAGTGAAACCATTGGCTACAGCCAAGAAGCAAATGGGGTGTTTCAACTGCGGAAGAGAAGGGCATCGAGCTGTAGAATGCCGCTCCAAAGCCCCCCAGCACAACCCAGACAGATCCCCAATCAGCAAATCCGGAAAGTCTTCAGCTAAGCCAAAAGAAACTGCCATGAGAATGATGGAAATTGCAGAACCCCCCACTTCTGCTCATCAGGGGGAAAGAACTCCAGCCTACACCGCAGGGCCGGTGGACGCCTCAGATGACAGCTCGGAGGGCGAAACCCTGGTAAGTGGATGCATCGCACCCATCTTCAAGACAGCGACTATATTAATCCCCCCCATGCCCGAAGCCGTCTATTAAGAGCCTTAATAGACTCTGGCTGCACCCACTGCCTCATTAGCCCAACACTAGTGGGGAATCTGGGCATTCCATCAAGGAGACTGGAACAACCAATCTCATTTGGCCAGTTAGATGGATCCATAGCAGGGGGGGTGCCAGCTACCCTAGCCATTCTACCAATACACCTCTATTAAGAGGTAGAAGGGTTAGGAGTAGAAGGGTTAGGAGTCTATTAAGACTCCTAACCCTGACGATCCCATAACAAAGAAGTTGAAACAAGAATAATGATCAATTGGTTAAGGACAATCAAAGTATCCTTACACATAGAGATGGGTTGGCTTACAAAGGGGGAAAATTATATCTGCCTGAATCACTCAGGCTCCAAACGCTCCAGCACAGCCATGATGTCAAACAGGCTGGTCACTTTGGGAATTGAAACTTGTTACTTTGTATCTGGGGGGAGAGAACCTAAGTCTTGGGTTCAAGTATGTAAGTGCCGATACTTTGTTTCCTGAATAAAATGTTCTTTAAGGAAAAAATCTTTGCCTTGAAGTTCTTTTAAGTGATTTCATCTATCGGAACCATGACAATTTGAACACTGAACTGCACCAGTGGGAATGATGAATCCTTCAAAACATTTTTTTTAAATTAAAATGTAAAATACTTCAAAACTGAGACCTGTGCTTGAAAGTACAATTTGTTTCACTGGAATATTCATTGTTAACAAGAAGTATGCACTTTAATTCTAGCTGGGAATTTTTGAAAGGCACCAGATTAGGGAAAGACCTTTCAGTAAACCTTTTCACACAAATCTTCAATAGTTTATTTTACAAAGTACTCCTCAAGAATACAATGGAAGTGGGGTATGTAGCTACACTGGACCTGAATATACAGTTTACTGATTTGTGGTGATGATGTGGCTTTTTTGGAGGAGCAGGTTTCCTAACCTTGTCCAAGGAATGTTATTGAATTATGCTTTTTCTCTTTATGCATAGACCCCATTTTCACTTGGAATGGCACGACTATATGAAATTTACAGCATATTCATTTTTGCTGTGTATTTTGGAGATTGGTAGCATCTTCTCCTTCTTAAAATCCCACTCCTGGCCTCTTCAGGGGGAAATGTTTGTCCTCAGACCTCATGCTAACTAAATCTTTTCTCATATCTAGCTCTGGCCATGGTTTGCTGTGATCTTGGAACTGCCCCTGCAACAAACTGCGTATCCTTGCATGCATGCAAGTGCCTATTTCAAGAACATTTCATTGGTTTTCATTTTGGTTGTTGTTGTTTTACTACCTTGTGTAATCTCCCAACACACACTCACTTGATTCATTCCAGCACCATAGAATAACTTCTAAACATTGAAGAGCTACAAAGTGGAATCTGTCTCCCAGAGCGCTTCTAAGAACATTATTTTAACCTATAGGTTATTCATGATTCAAAGAGAGATTTTCTGCACTGACTGAAGCCTAGTTTGATTTTTCTGCTTGGCCATTTTTCACATTTCCATAATAATCTTTCTCTGGATTAGGTTTTCAATTGTGGTAGTCATGAGGTTCTCTTTTAACTTGCACCATCTATTTTGAAACCCCACTCTGAAGAATTTACCCAGTATTTTCACCATGAAATTACTGCAAAACACCGAGGAAATCTTTAGAATTTTAGATGTGGCTTACGACCTTTCTACTTGATCTGTTAATTATAGGATGATTTATTTTACATAAGAAAAGATGGGGAAACTGTTTTTTTTTTTTAAATAAATAAATTCTGCCATACACATATGTCTTTTTCCTGGCAATCAAACTCTTTAGTACTACCATTACTATAGCTATAGAACAATGTTGATTTTAAGATTGTTAGTGTATATATACACAAATACATATACCTAATTTATCAGAATCAGCTAAGTGGCAATTAACATTTGTTAATCCTCTGGAACTGTTACATTAACTGCCTTTGAAACCCTCATAGCTTTGAACATATTGGACAAAGTTATTTTTAGAGACAAAGTCAACAGTAGAGTTTTTCAACAATTAAAAAAAAGAATAAAG